AGGGTTTCTGCTGATGGGCTTATGCGGGGCCCTGGGATATCGGAAACTGATAAAAGCGGTCAGCGCAGCTCAAAACCCCACTAGGCTGGCCGGTGTTACGGTTTAACTGGTGACCGTGTTAACTGGTGTCCCTTTCCAGATGTAAGCTATTCACGTTTGCAGATTGGCAGATTCGTCACTTTTTCACAGCAACAAAACATGTCCATACCAAATAAAGATTCTTATTACTTGGTGTCAGTGTCATTGTGTGCATTATTGATTTTAATAGCTGTGTAGCAGAACAGTATATAACCAAAGTAAATAAAAAAAAAATAATTAGAATTTACATGTCATTAACAGGATTCGAACCCGTGTAGTGAAAAGGTTTAGCACACGTATCAATCAACTTATCTAACTGAGCTACTCGGAACTTCAAACGAAGCGGTCTGTTTTAATATATTTGTCAATTAAAACATGCCTTGCTGTGGTTGTGGACCCGTGTTAACATGTTTCCATCGATGTTAACATGTTTACATGTTGTTTAGTTACATGTACTCGCGTTAACGTGTTTCTACAAACTCTCCCGCTGAAAGAATAGCTCTATGTGACTAAACGATGCATCATCAGTTGCTCAAACCATGTTTTTTCTTAGTTCTAGACTCATGTCTACCTGTGCCTTTGGAGTCGTGTTAACTCGTGACCCATGCTCATACATGTAACGTAAATAAAGATTTTATCCAAAAAAATGAATACAATGACGATATTATTATGCAACATATTATGTCTAATATATATAATATATATTTCATATATAATATTATGCAACATAATATTAGAATATTATGCAATCAGAATATAATAGTCCCATTGACTCGTGTTAGTCTGTGTCTACAAAGTTGCACGAGCTGATATTTTCTCAGAATAGCTCTAAATGACTACGTTGTTCCGTTAAATAAGCATACGTTATAAATCGCAGTCCCCCCATTTTATTTTAAAGAGAATTAAAAAAAAATCAGGCATAAACAAAACTCGTATGTGGATTCGAACCTACTAACAAGAGAGACGCATGAAAGGACATACATTCTAACTAATTGAGCTATCAAGCACTGATATAGGCTTAGCAGCTTTTAGTAATTTTATCGTATGTAGCCAAATCATGTTCATAAGTATCCTGATACAGATGTGACCAAGATCATACATTGAAATGTTGCGATTTTCAATTAATATTCTGTTGCATAATATTATATATGAAATATATATTATATATATTAGACATAATATGTTGCATAATAATATCGTCATTGTATTCATTTTTTGGATAAAATCTTTATTTACGTTACATGTATGAGCATGGGTCACGAGTTAACACGACTCCAAAGGCACAGGTAGACATGAGTCTAGAACTAAGAAAAAACATGGTTTGAGCAACTGATGAAGCATCGTTTAGTCACATAGAGCTATTCTATCAGCGGGAAAGTTTGTAGAAACACGTTAACGCGAGTACATGCAACTAAACAACATGTAAACATGTTAACATCGATGGAAACATGTTAACACGGGTTCACTATCACAGCAAGGCATGTTTTAATTGACAAATATATTAAAACAGACCGCTTCGTTTGAAGTTCCGAGTAGCTCAGTTAGATAAGTTGATTGATACGTGTGCTAAACCTTTTCACTACACGGGTTCGAATCCTGTTAATGACATGTAAATTCTAATTATTTTTTTATTTACTTTGGTTATATACTGTTCTGCTACACAGATATTAAAATCAATAATGCACACAATGACACTGACACCAAGTAATAAGAATCTTTATTTGGTATGGACATGTTTTGTTGCTGTGAAAAAGTGACGAATCTGCCAATCTGCAAACGTGAATAGCTTACATCTGGAAAGGGACACCAGTTAACACGGTCACCAGTTAAACCGTAACACCGGCTTGATTGAAACACTGATGGGTAGGGTCGCGAATCAGACTATGGTCCTTGACCGCAAACTGGAAACCATCGAGGTGAAGCTAGCGGCTCTGCAACAAATTTTGGCCAGATCGGGAGACGAGTGATGGACATTAAATATCTGTGAAATTGGCAGATATTGACCTAAAGTGGAAGTATCTTACTGTCTTTTTTTCGGCTCTCCTCTTACTCCTGCCAGACGGCCTCGGCTGGAAGTAAACAACTCCCTGGGATAAGCAAGATAAGCAGACGCTCTGAAATTCCTGCCCCTGTCAAGGACACCTGCGGGACTCTGGACTATGCAGGCTCACACACACACAAACATATCTACAGATAAACATTCACCACCGATCCCCATCCAAACGCCTTCGTGTGCTTTTACCCACGTGGGGCGTGGGCGGGGCTGTGACATGCGCCGGAAATGGCTGCTGGGCCAGTTGGCTGCCCGCACTCAACGGATTCCATTACCCCTGTTCCCATCCCCTCTGTCTATGTTGTGTCTTGCCGGTGTGCTTATGCTAAGATAGGGCTGTTTTTCTCCCTTTTCTCACTTTGTCCTAATCAAGGGCAAGCTGAGGGGGTGTTTTTTAGCCTAACTGTCCAAATGTATCTTTCTTCGTTTCTAAATGCTACCTCCTAAGATCTGTCTCCCCTGAAAAGTTGTTTGTGATGTTTTGTGTATGGTCTGGGGGGTCCAATTTTCACTATACGAAAGTGTAGTGACAAATAAAGGCTTGATTGATTGATTGATTGATTGATTGATTGATTGATTGATTTATTTATGCAGTAATTTTGTGGATTTCATATAGGCTACTTTCATTTATTTATTTGCATATTTGTTTATTGTTTTATTTATACAGGGATTTATTAAATTTTTTTACCCATTTATTTATTTTCATATTTATTTATTTATTGTTTTATTTATGCAGAAATTTATTTACTTATTTATTTATTACCAAATGTATTAATTTTATTGCTCTATTTGTGCAGGAATTTGTGAATTTATTTACTAATTCATTTCTTTTTTATTTTATTTATGCAAGAATTTATTAATTTATTTACTCATTTATTTATTTATTTGCGTATTTATTTTATTTATTTATTTATTATTTGGTCCTCCATACAATCCAGCCAATTCCCGAAGGATAAAATCAAGCCCTGCACTATGCATTTTCTTGTTCACAAAGCAATTTCAAATTAATGGATGTCACGATGGAAAAGTATATTCTGTTTTATGCTGGATGCTTGGCGGAGATGAGAGCTTTGTTCCATCCCTATGCTCTAATCCCTTCAAAGTGTTTCTTCTCTAGAGTATAAGAACTAAAACTGCACTGCCTAACAAATCAAATATTTGCAAAGAATCATGGGAAAAAATGTCCATTGTTTGTACTCTTCAGAATCTGAAGGGCTCTCTGAAGTGGACAGCTCTGAGCATATGTGCCCTTCAGAGGTGGATTTTGTTCCATCTGAATTGCAATGATGGATAGTCTGTGAATACACACTATTCATGTCAGAGAGATATATTATACTGCAATTATTAGGAATAATTTATTTTCTAAAGCAAGATTTAAGTGTTAGTATGATTGATTATCCGTTTATTTTCAGTATATTTGTATAAGTATCTATATAACAACAATGTAGACTATTAGACTTTAATAACCTAAATCTAACTATAGCTACATAAGACGCCGCTGGCTTGTTTCAGTCTATAATTATTGAAAACAACATATACGCTTTTGAGGCTTACTTAAATGTAAAATTACCCAGATTAAAGATGACATTTTTGTGTGTGTGGATTGTTTGAAAGGATGTTTCTAAGGGTATTTTTGCCTCCAACCCCCACGTGCCCGTCTGCCTGCGCGCGCTCACGCGCTTTCCCATTGATGCTTGTTTTGTGCGGATGTGCAGTACGTGACGTTCTGGCGCGCGGTGGTCCACTTGGGCTACAGGGGAGAGGGGGGCTGAACTGTGTACAAGCAAATGCATTTAAATGATTAATCACGGAAGGATGTTTACAGACTCTATTTTCTATATGCATGTATCAGAGTTATTTGTGGTCCAGACGCCTCGTTCGCAGAAAAGTACGTTACATAAAATCTTAAGAGTAGAGATCAGCCAGAGTTCAGAAGAAAGGTAAATCTCTTACACCAAAAGAGAAAGAGCCAACCTGAGCAGCAGAGCTTAACAACACCTTATTGCTGTTAAGTCTGCCAAGTGATGAACTAAAGAGCAAATATTACTGAAGATTATGATCGTTGATAAAGTATATGTGGATTGATTTATTGCTTTAATAATGCATTTACACCCTTAGGGTAACCAATATATCAGATACAATGATTGAATACAGTTCAATCATTGTTATTGTGGTAGCCTAGGCTATATTTTCTATATCCTAGAAATAGCCCAAGTCGCAAGATATAAACAACTATAAACAGAAAATGATTCTACACAAATAAAAACTGCTGCATAGTCCTACACTAGCCTACACAATGTCACACAACCAGTTTGCTTCATAAGCAGCTCACGTTGTTTACTATTGGCCTATATAAAGAGTTTTAATGCAAAAACCTGCAAGTGCCGTTTGAAATTTTCGTCTAAAATGAGCCTTTTTATCAGACTGTTGTGTGTAGTTTCAGTAAGAATTACAATTAGTGCAAAAAAAAATTTTTTTTGTCATTACCTTTAAAGTGAAATAACTAAACATAAACAAATAAGTAATAGTTTTGCAGTGAAATGTGTTTATTGAGAACATATATTTAATATAAAAGTTCACTGGAACAATATTAAATTAACGATTTACTGTAAAGTTTTTGTCGTATGTTTTACATGGTTTTCCAATTAGGCCAACGAGAACAATTTGTTTAACAACATCCACCGCTAGTTGAACATTACTGATAGACACTCCCACCTTGACACACCTCCAGTGCGTTTAAACATTATTTTACAACTGTGAATCTACTAAAATTTACTTTGAAATGTGCACACGCTAATTCAATGTGTAGTGCTACTGCAAATATAAAACATTATTAAGATTAACGTATATGCTAATTTGATGGACTCACCGGTTATTCTCTTAAGACGAGCGTTCTTTGGCACTGTAAAGCGCAGAGGATCTTCTTCAAATTCCTCCAAGGGTCCTGCGACAGATGAAACTCACTGATAGTTCACTGGTGATGTAGAGAGACTCGTTCAGCTATGACAAGATGGAAAAGCTTCAGGTCTGAGCGCACGGACGGTCGGCTTTAAATAGCTTATCTGAACAGCACGCCCTCTTTCTCACCCTCCTCCTCCTCTTTCACGCAGGAGCTTGCTAGTGTTCAATAAAGTATGAGGACGACATTCTCACTATTCGTATTCATAAAAAAGTAAGGCGATAGATTTTCCCTTGTGTGGTTAAATAACTGAGACGGAAAGTGTTATTCTAGGCTGATTAATTGCAAATGTTTTATTGAAGTCCAAAACATGAATGATTAATTTGATCAGTGACCATTCAAAGAAATGATTGAAACACCCAAATTACTGATGGGATTATAGCTCTTTTTGTAAACGCGTCGCTTGCTGTTAGATTGGAAACACACACTAGCATTCATAGATTTCGGGCCTGTAGATAGAGGGGGGTTCGGGTATTTCGAAAGACCTACCCCTCTCTGACTGACAAAGGTCCAAAATTTGGCCGGTATACAACCGCGGTATAGTCAGTTTTACGTTTGACATTCATGAGACATTCTGTTTCAAACCAATTAAATTCTTTGCTCCTGTTATAGTGTGAGCCCAAAATGTGTCAGCTAGACATAAATATGTGCCCTTTATGTTGCACAAAGCTTAATTTCTCCATTAAAAAATCACCAATTAATTAAACAATTCAACCATGGGAAATTATACACTAAGACAGTACCAAAATGTTTACAAAACCATTCTGCTTATTGCACAAGACTTTTGGAATTAGCACATTATTTATTTTATAATAGTTTTAAAATAACTTTTAATGTAAAATGGTTTTAGTCAATTACACTCTGACATAATTTGAGATAAAATATTCAAATCAACTGTAAAATTTTCAGATTATTTTTCTTTATGATGCACAAGCTGTGTTTTTACAGTTATGCCCTTGATTTTATAAACGGTTCTGAATCAATATTATTAGTGTATCAGTTACACTGTAAACACTTAAATAAATTAAAGTCTGACACCATTTGAAATAATATATTCAATAATATATCAGCACTAAAGTTGTCTAAATATTTTTCTCTTTAATGCACAGGCTTTATACGTGCAGTTATGTTATTGTTGATTTTATATACAGTCATGAATCCATGTTTTCTTTGAATTTTAAGCTCATTGCTTAATTTATAATACTGTAATAACTGAGTTTTAATGCAAATTTGTAAATATACAATTCATGGTAAAACTGTATGGTAAGCACTTTGACAAAAATGTATGGAATAAATTTGTTGCATCAAAAAGTCACCATCTGACAAGCCAATTCAGCAAAAAAAAAAATAGTGCTTAAAATGTCAGTAAAATGCAGTATTTAAACCTCAAAATTGAATAGAAAATGAGGCGTATAACGGCAAAAAGGTCCACTTTTTGAGAAAAAAAGAACCATTCCTTTCAATAGGCTGGCTACAGGCCTGCATTTGCACCAGAAGAATGTGTGTGTGCGTCTTTGTGTGTACTAGAAATTTCAGGTTATGTTTCCACATGACTATTATGAAGTTTTAAAGGGATAGTTCACCCAAAATGAAAATGTAGATACCATTTACTCTCAAGTTGTTCCATATCTTATGAGTTATTTTGAAGAAAGCTTGAAACGTGTAACAATTGACATCCATATTGTTTTATCTTCAATGGAAGTCAATGGTTCCAGCTTTCTTCAAAATATCTTCTTTTTCGATCAAGTGAACAAAAAAAAATCTCAAAGTGGTTTGGAACATGTGAATGGCGATTAATTGATTTAAAAAATGTATTATTCTGGTATCCCTTTAATGTTTTGAATTCTTCCCATTATTCCACTTATACTCAGAGTTTTATAGTGTTTAATTTTCCTGCATTCTGAGATCATACCGTGGGCCATTTTAGTTTGCTTAATATAACTGCACTTTTAGGCATTGTGCCAATTGCCACAGGTCCCCATGTGCTCCGGTTTAAATTCAGACCTCCAGCACCAACAGAACAGTTTTTAGGCAATATATGCATATAATATATGCAAATTTAAAAAAAATTAAAAATAAAACTTTACAGTTCAGGGAAACACACCACGTACACCATCATGTTATGAGGAAATGCGTATATACACCCTTGTTCATTCTTATTTCCAGCTAACAGTTCACTGCTTTCACCAGTGGAAATTTACAGAAGCAAATACCAAAGAGGAAAGAGATTAGAATTCAGAACAGCAAACCCGCTTCACAATCTGGGTTGAAGGCCAAGGCCCCCTATTGCTGCTAATTAGTATTGTGTGACTTACTACCAATAGTGTTTTCCACTGATCAGAGAACAGTTGGAAGTTAGTCCCAGTCCAGGGCCTCTAACTGAAGGCTGATTTAGGAACAGTCCTAAATGGTTAAATAAGCCCTGAGATGTTCTTTGAATTCCCATTGTGTAAGCAACCATTTGGGACAGCAGGAAATAGTTTTATTAGTTGTGGTGTAGTTTTGAGGCCTGATGTGCACTCAGAACTCGAACCCTTCATGTCCAGTTTATGAAACAAGCAATTAAAAATGTCACTTGGAATTTTTTGAATGAAGATAGTTTAAAGCTTTCATTGTCATCTCTTTTTACTCGTCTCACCTGTTTCTCCTGTTTTGCTTGTCTCTGCTGTTTTGTTTTTTTCAAGATTTGACATTACTGTAAGAACGTGGATGAATTTATCTGTTTGTAAATGGAGCACATTCAGCGAGTGACACACATAAGGAAACAGTGACTTGTAGCACAATGTCGGAAAGATTCCTTTTATTTGAACCTTTAGTATATACTAGGGCTGTACAATATATTGTTTCAGCATTTATATTGCAATGTGCACATAATCACATAGCAGGATTTAGCCACAAAACACAGGGGTTTTTAGAGTCGCTGCTAAGATTAACCATAATAAAGTGAAGATATATCATTTGCATGTGTTTTAAGGGCCTGTGATGGAGCATTTCATGAGAAATTAAAACATTTGGGTACAAGAAATGACGACTTTTGGAGGCGGGCCAAATATATATTACATTTTATTATTTATTATTTTGTTGAAGATGATATAGTGTTAATTTACATTTACAAAAAAAATATTTTATTTTTTGTATTGTTTAATGTCTATATATCTGCATTACAAACCCAAACAAGATTCTTTTGCTTACCCCATTGCCTGATTATTTTGCTTGTTTTGAGGAAAATCTCACTTAATTTTAACTTAAGGTAACTCAAACCATTTGAGGAAACCGATTGCAACAAACCATTTAAGTTCAAAAACTACACTAAATGAGTACTGTGAACTTAATCTATTTGAGTAAACCAGGGGTCGGCAACCCAAAATGTTGAAAGAGCCATATTGGACCAAAAAAAACAAAAAACAAATATGTCTGGAGCCGCAAAAAATGTAAAGCCTTATATAAGCCAAACACATGCTGTATGTATCTATAGTAGCTATATTAGCCTACTATAAAAATGACTAAGTTGGCTACAAATACATAATGAGCCTTCATGATTAAATAGCCACTGAAATCAGGTGGTTGGTGTTGATTTCGTTGTCATTTAAACACTTCAGCACAGCCTCTGGTCTTTCAGTGGTATTAATTTGATCATTTCTTCTTGCGGCCCATCAGAGTTCACATACCTGCATAAAAGAGCATTGAATATCGGTCACATCACAGGCAATTGAGTATGCTGACAGTGAATTAATGTCCTTGGTTTGCTGATCGGTGATGTTACCTGCCATTTTAATAGCCCTTTCCTTCACTGTCTTAGCGGAGAGAGGTATATCTTTAATTTTTTGTATTATCTTGGTTTTGTTTTTGAAGTCTGCAAATAGGTGTTTTAATATGCTGATGAATGACTCCATGTAGTCACCATCTGTGAACGGTTTTCCATGCTTTATTTTCTCCCGGTTTGTTTACAACAGCCACCTGCCCGGCATCCCGCCCTGCTGATAGAAACCTGTGTCGCAGGCTATGACGCAAATCTTCGTTGACAGAAATGTTGAAATTAAATATTAATTCTACACACTTTTACAGCATTTGAAAACGTTAAAAATGTTTGTCCTCCTAGAAATCATATCAAAACAAAAATATATACTAACCTTCCCCATCTTTTTGAACATTTTTGAAAAAGCTCCAGGGAGCCACAAGGACAGCGCTAAAGAGCCACATGCGGCTCTAGAGCCGCAGGTTGCTGACCCCTGGAGTAAACTAAGCAATTTGAGCACTGTAAAACCCAATAAATGAAGAGAACCCAAACCAACTGAGTACTGGAAAACCCAATAGGTTAAAACAACTCAAACAGTTTGAGGAAACCAATTGCTACAAACCATCTGAGTTAACTAATCTATATGAGTACTGTGAACTTACTCCATTTAAGTTGATATAATGAGGTATTTAATTAACCCATTTGCTTCAACACTGAGTTCAAACTCTTTTCAAATGAGTAGAATTAACTTTCAGTCAATTTTGAGTTAACTACACTCATTTCATTTGAGTTTTTCAGTGTAGCAAAAGTCAAATGGAATTCAAACTGTATTCATATCACAATATATATTATAAAAAGTTAAAATATCGCAATGTCAGATATTGTGCAGCCCTAGTATGTGTAATATCCAGATAAATAGGCCAGACTGCAAGATTTCAGCAAATGTTGTCTTTCCCTTTTTTTTTAAACAAAATCCCTTTATAAGTTGACCTTTTTGTTTAGTTTAGTTTTAAACATATTTAAAGTCAAGTGCTTTATGCATTCTAAACCCTCGATGAATGTTTGTCGAGTGTATTTAATGAGATCATGGGATTAGATACCTCATGTAGAGTGAATCTTTGACCCTCAGTCCACAATGAAATGCCGTTGTTGAGGTCAGATATCACAAACCAAGAATAGCAACTGTGTAAACTATAACAGCAGTGGGATGACACACAAAGAAACACCCTGTTTATGAAGATGAATTATTAAATACAGCTTTTGGCATATTTGCATTCTTAGGATCAGATTCATCATTAGCTGAAAAGATGGGAATGTTTTTGTTTGTT